AAAATAAGAAATAGACTTTCTTGGATTATCAATAGATAAAAGAGAGATAAAATTACAAACTCATATATCTAAAAAGACAGAAAATTTTCCAGATAAATTAGAATCCAAAGAACAAATACAAAAATTCTTAGTATGTTTAAACTATACAGAATGATTTATTGAAAATATTTCTAAAAAAGACATAAAATTCAAGTTTTACTCAGAAAAACAAATATTAAAGGATGAAATGAAGAACATACAGGAATAGTTAAATCATTAAAAGAATAATGCAAAAATTTGCCAAAATTAAGATTACCAGATGAAAAAGATAATTTTATTGTTAATACTGATACCTTAGATAAATATTAGGCAGCAATATTAAAAACAGATCTAAATGAAATTTGTAGACATTCAAGTGGAACTTTTAACCAAACAGAAATAAATTATACTACTCATGAGAAAGAATTACTAACAATTATTAGAGGAATAAAAAAGTTTTTATTATTTTTATTGTCCAAAAAGTTTATTATTGAAACCGATAATTCTCAAGTTGCAGGATTAGTCAGGAATAAATTACCATCAGAACCTCAATACAGAAGGCTCCATAAACGGCAAGCTTATTTAACATTTTATAATTTCGATATAGTCCATATTAAAGGAGTTAATAATTTTCTTGCAGATTTTTTCAACAGAAACAGAGAATTTGCTGATGCATAAAGACAAGGTCACGAAATTATACCAATCTAACCTACATATACAAAAAAGGATAGATTTTCTTAAAGAAGAATCCGAAGATATAAATTCTAGAGCAACTCAGATCTTAGAGACGTTCAACTCAAATATAAAAATATTGTTGAATATTATTACTGAGCATCAAAAATATGCCATAGAACTTAAAAATCAAGTTGATGCTATTGCAACACAATTAAAAGATATACTGTCTAAGACAAATATATCAAAGAGCTTAGAAATGAGTTTTCTAAATCAATACCAAACAGGGACAACTGGAAGCAGCAGTGGACCTAGACGTGACAACATACCAACTGATAATAAAGGAGATTCCATTTCTATTTCATCAACCAAGAAAATTATGATACATGGAGATAAAAGAGATACCAAAATAATTAGCATCATAGACCAAGAAGATAAAATCCCTTTAGATCAAAAAGAAGAAAAATATGCCAAAATAGTCAGAATTGCTTATGAAATAAAAATGAGTGATTCATATTTCATTTTTTCGGGAAATAATGTTTACCCCAAAATAACAATCATGGAAGGAGGTGACCCTTCATTTATAAAAATTATGGCTAACTATGGATTCATGAATTTGGTCTATTCGGGAAAATATTTTATTGAAATTTCAAAGTTTGATGACATATTCATTAAAGAAGTATCCAAATTTGCTAAGGGAAGGAAAATATTTTTGAAATTCTATTCAATCAGTCCAGAATATGGAGTTATTTACTATCCAGTTGAACACATAATCCCAATTGGATATGTTGCAGCCAATTTTCAAATTGATGTTATAGAAAATAATAGAAAAATTTCAACAGTGACAAAATCATGGATCAGACATAGAAAAGCACTTGGAATTAAAGTCATCTACAACATTGTCAAAAATTTGTTTGATAAAAAATTCTCGTGCTTGTGCCAATATGAAAATTGGATGTTGGTATCCAATGGAGGATATGCAAAATCAGATATTTTAAAAGATTATATTACAAGATTTGATATACATCAATTTTCAAGATATCCTACCACTATAAATAATCCTGCCAATTAAGGGAGTGCCCCAAGTGCATGTGAAGAAATAAGAGGACAATAACAGAGCACCTTTGACAAAGGTGTACAGCTGCATGTGAAAACATTGAAGATAAAGGGTAATAATAGAAAAAAATGCTCTTTGGATAACAAGATGTGAAGATGTAGGTCCAATGAGGACAATAATAGAGAGGCAGGTGTGCCTTGCTGATGTAATTTATGATGTAATAGAGTCCCATAAACTTGTATAAATGGAGACATTATCATAAATAAAGATCATCTCATTCTATCTTGAAATCTCGAGTTGTAAGCAATAACTACTCAAAACTCATTCTCAGTTTGAAAAATCAGTTTTTCTGGAAATCCCTTTGTAGAAGTCCTGTATAAATTCTGAATAGAAATAAAACTCCAATATTTTTTAATATAAATATGAGTTTCTAAATCTTTGTTCTTATAGATTCTTGATAGATTTGATAAAAAGTTTCATTCTTATTTTAGCAAAAAGAAGGTTTTTCTTTAATAGAAGTCTAGGATTTCATTCTTTAGAAGTTGAAACAGTGAGAGCAAATAGCTGAAACAGTAACAATTCCATGAAAGACAAGAGACCGTTGAAGGAAGTAGTTTACAGATTTAGAACTCGAAGATCGGGATATACAATTAAATGATTGGATAATTTATTAAAAAGAATGTTAGAAGTAATAAAAAATATGTATTCTCAATTAGAAAATATGGATACATCTTCTGAAAAATATAATATATTAAATAATAAATGTGAACAATATGTTACAGATTATTCCAATTTATTAGATCATAGAATGAAATTATATTCAACTATTCAAAATAGGGTAAATACAAGATAAAATATTTAAAAGATTAAAATATATGTTGCAATATATAAAAAAAAAATCTTTTTATCAAGGGTAATATAGACTTTCCAACAAAAATAAACACTGATAGATCAAATTAGAAAAATCTCCTCATCCACAATTACTTCTTTTTAAAACTTTTTCCCCTTTATAAACAACAATATCCCGTTCACAAGATTCCAATCTATAATTTGACCTCTTCAAATTAATTAATCAGAATAATACTGCTACTCTCACTCTTCATATTCACTATCTAATTTCAAACAAAGAATCAATCTTGATTTCTAGATAAAGAATTTGAGAGGGGAAATGGGAAAGGGTGGAATGTCTCATGGAAATAGTGGGGAGGAAGAAGAGAACATGGCAGCTTGGCTTCTGGGTGTTAATAATATCAAGATTCAGCCTTTCAAGCTCCCTCCTCTTGGTAAGTGATGATTTTTCTGTTTTTGCTATGTTTCTTTGAATTGCTTGATTTATATAGAGATATCTGTTGATTTCTGAGCTTAGGGTTTGATATGTTTCAATTTGTTCCTATATATGTTTTCTCGTATGCTACTTTTAGGCCCCCATGATGCTAGAATTAGGATGAAAGCTGTTGGTATCTGTGGAAGTGATGTTCACTACGTCAAGGTGAAATCTGTTCTTATTTTATCTACATGAACTTAATATTTGCCACGTTTGTTTGTCGGTGGATTGGATACTACTCAACACTATTAAATTAGAAGAATAAGCTAAAATCTTGCTTATCGTGCTGTCTAGTCTTATCATACGATGATGTATATCTAGGCCCCGTTTGAGCCCCATTTTTACCTCATTAAAATGAAAAATATAACCGTTATCCATCACATCAAGCTATTATTTTTTAATTTCTATCTGCTGTGTGGGGTCCATAACGTCTCTATTTTTCATTCTCATTCTACAAATAATTTGACTCAAACGGGCTCCTAATATGCTTTTGTCAATTTCAGATGAATATCATGTTTTATGAATATTTCAGGAGATGAAATTAGCAGATTTTATTGTCAAAGAACCAATGGTGATTGGGCATGAGTGTGCCGGGATCATTGAAGAAGTAGGTGCTGAGGTAAAACATCTTGTGCCTGGTGATCGCGTGGCAGTCGAACCAGGAATCAGTTGTTGGCGTTGTAATCTCTGCAAAGAAGGTCGATACAATCTGTGTACTGACATGAAGTTTTTCGCTACTCCCCCGGTCCATGGTTCTCTTGCAAATCAGGTATCTATCAATATATGGGGGGTTGCATTTTTGGAGAATTCACAGGCTCCGTGTTCTTTCAAATTCATTTATGTGAACAATTGAACATGCAGTACAAGTACCTTTCTCAAAGAAGTAATAATTTCTCCATTATGTATTGTTTGCTTTAACCGTCCAATTTAAACGTGCACAGGCACTCACATAAATTCTCAATCTCACATTCTTACCGCGTAAAAGTCTTTAGCTTGACTACATCATATAATGCTGCAATTAAATGTCTATCTCTCTATTATGTACCAGAAAGAGGTTCGTCGTACATATTTTGCAAATCCATGGCTTTTCATTGAACTTGGGCCAGCTCAAGGAATGGCCAAAGAGCATTATTCTCTCTATCTCTTCTTTTTTTGTGTAGTTATGCATACCTTTTGATTGACCGGATGTCATTTATGGGGGTTAAAAGTGACATTCTTCTCTTGATCGCTTGCAACAGATTGTGCATCCTGCAGATTTATGTTTCAAACTCCCGGACAATGTGAGTTCGGAGGAGGGGGCTATGTGTGAGCCCTTAAGTGTTGGTGTTCATGCATGTCGTCGTGCGAATATTGGTCCTGAGACAAATGTGTTGGTAATTGGAGCAGGACCTATTGGGCTTGTAACACTGCTTGCAGCCCGTGCCTTTGGGTCCCCAAGAGTTGTGATTGTGGATGTAGATGATTACCGTCTTTCAGTCGCTAAGGAGCTTGGAGCAGACAAGGCGGTCAAAGTTTCTACTGATACAAAGGTTGAATCTTGTGCATGAAGCATTATTTTTATGTTATTTATATTATTATTCTAACATCAGATTATTCATGTTTAAGACCCTTCTGAACTCCATTTGAAGCTATTGAAAAGGTGAAAGGTGAAAATCAGCGGTGGAGGGAGGGGAAGCCAATTTATATTTTAAGCTAATTTTTTTTTCCCCTATATCTACCCAAAAAAATAAAAATAATAAATAATTAAAAAAGTTGTCCCCCTGGCTCTACCTCTAAGGAGCATAATGTTAATTTACAAGCATTTTGATCAATAGCTAGTGGAATGATTTCTGTTTCCTGTCTCTTGTTAAGAAATTAGTTCAACATATCTTTATCCCAAGTCAAAGCCAATTGAATTACTGGATCCCGTCTTCCCCCAGAATCTGCAATTTCGTATAATCTATAGTACTCTCCGTTCCTTTACCATTCTAAGGTCTCTATCTCAAACTCTAACTCAAGCGTAACTCCTTTAACTCCTTCGTTCGTGCGCCATACCCATGGCTCACTCACTGATCTGGTCTAGCTACAGACTAGTATCGGCTTCCTTAAACAAATCCGAGGTAGAGTTTTCCCAGGTACAGGAGCAGACCTCTTTCTGATTGATGGTAAAGCTGATAACTACTGTATCCTCTATTCTTGTTTCATACTTTTCTCCATTTTCTTTGTTGTGTTTCTTTCTTTACTGTCAAACTGAGCTGCTACACCATTGTAATGCAATCCACTAACGCAAATTTTAAACAGGATGTGGCTGCAGAGATTGATCAGATTAAGAAAGCTATGGGAGCTGGAGTGGACGTGAGCTTTGACTGTGTAGGCTTTAATAAAACCATGACAACAGCTCTTGGGGCCACCTCTTCGGGTGGAAAAGTTTGCCTCGTGGGAATGGGTCATAGCATAATGACCGTACCCCTCACCCCGGCTGCTGTAAGGTAATTTTGATCACACTATTTCACAACAGGGAATATTAGGAGTGTTTTTGGCTAAGCTTAAAAAAAGTGAAATTAGTTAAGAAAAAAGTAATTAATGACTTGCATTTAAAAAAGTCCCTTGTAATATTTTATGTGAAAGATGTTTGGGGGAAAAAAAAGTTTGTTTCAAGTACTTCTAATTTTTCTTAGGCTTAGCCAAACATGCTCCAGCACATCTCTGCCTCTTGTATCATTTTCAAATTTGCTGGTTCCAGAAGATGGTACAACCACAATCCGACTGAGACAAAGCTCGTTTCCCTCTATTTCCTTTATCATCCGTCATTTTTTGAATGCATATTCTAATTGATAATTTCAAATTATTTTCAGAGAGATTGACTTGATAGGCATATTCAGATACAAGAACACATGGCCTTTATGCATAGAGTTTCTAAGGAGCGGTAAGATAGACGTGAAGCCATTGATCACCCACAGGTATGGATTCTCTCAGGAGGAGGTTGAAGCAGCCTTTGTAACCAGTGCACATGGTGGTAAAGCTATCAAGGTCATGTTTAATCTGTAGTAGTTGTTTCTTTATAAAGGGTGCGAAATAAAGAAACAAGAGAATGTGAGAGAGAGAGGGATACCCTCTTTTTCTTTAAGCTTGAACAAACTATAGATGTTAAACCTTGAATTTGTTTTGTGATTTACTGTTATTGATAATTAATAAAGACATTTTATGTAGCATTTTTCTTTAAACATTACGCAATTTGAACTTTTATTATTGTTCAAAATTCAAAATCCGTGCCCAATGAACCTTGGGGAGTTTAGTCCTAATGTACTCCCACGATTATGCTAGTTTAGAAACTAATTTGCAAAGCGTATAATAATATCCAGTACTTACAGTTGAAGTGGCATTACAAGATTTGGGGACAAGAAAAATAAAGGAAAAATATACTCAAACTGGCATTCTCCCATCTTCAATATGTTAATCTTGTACATTAACAAAGAATAGAACGATACAATATAGTTAAAGAAACACGGTTAATCTCACTAGGCTGGGGTTGTTTCAGCTGACCACTTCCATACTGTTACTTGACCAGATCCGTCACCAGTGAAAAACAAACCACCGGGACCAACTTGTATGGAGCGAACCTCTTGTTTGGAAAAGATCTTCCCTCTCTCAGAAAATCTAGATGGAAATAAATAGAACAAAATTCATAAAGGGATATAAGCAATTGCAACAAACCAAAACAGGGAGACATTAGCAATATAAGAATAGCAATAAGCAAACTCACGTTGGCAAATCATAGGCTCGAATGGAGTTATCATTGCACGAGCACAACAACACAGGTTTGGCCTCTGAATCATGCATCCCGAAGAGAGTGAGTAACCCCTGCAGCAACCTTCTGATATTAACATCTTTTTCCATAATACAAATTAAGATATTAGGATTTGTATTCCCACTAAAAATCTTAGTTTTTAACTACACAAAATGTTGTTATTACTATAAATGTCAAATTTTGCCATTATTGTTTGTCAACTCCATTTGGATTAGAACAAGAACAAGCGAACTCATGTCATTAACTAGCTTACATGTTCTTCATTGTGGGTAAATGTAACTTCCAAGTTCCCATTCTCAGTTGCAGCCCAAACCTACACTAAAAACAGGAAATCGTCTCAAGACTATGAAGAAAAATGAATATTCCATTTAATTGACAGAAACACAAACCTTCACAGTTTTGTCCAATGAAGCTGACAAAAGGAACTGATCCCAACACAAAAGAGACATTACAACATCTATATGCTCTGTCAAAGTTTGTAGACAACGCAAAGTCTCAAGGTCCCATACCTGAAGGTATTGAGAAACATCAAACGAAAATAAGTAACGACAACAGCTGGAGATGGTTATGACATCTACGAAATCATTTTGAAAAAAAAATCTGCAATGTGTTTTATGTCTGAAGCAACCTACTTTTATAGAATGATCCATAGAACCAGAGTACACTCGATTAGCTCCAACGACTAATGTCACAACAGCAAGCGTGTGGCCCTTGAGTGATGCAGCAGGCTCAAAGCTGTTGGTGGCAACATTGAATTTCCATGCCAGTATCGTCCCTTCCTGAAGTAGATAGAATGTTCAGACAAACACTTAACACATGATAACGTGTTTCTAAATATCATTTGTTTCTGAAAGTACGGACAAGTGTCTTGTGTATTTCAGCACTTCAAAATCCACAGCACATCTTATAAAAAAAAAACATTTACAAGACAAGGAAACTAGAAAATAGAAACTAGCATTTCTATGAGTAAGCAACTGTGATATTAAAAATCATAGTAATGAGGTTAAACAAATTGGTGGTTACTAAACTTATAGAGAAATTTTGCTTTGCTCACTAAACTTCATTCCGTTTCAAGTTGATCCATGAACTGAAAGTTCATTTCAAGTCAGTCAAATGTAACAAGATAAAGCTTAGTCACCAACATGAAAGTCCAGTGACCACCTTTGTTTTTTACACTCGTGGCAACATCAAAGGATATGCAATATATGAGTGCTAAGTAGGTTTTTCTGTTTAAAACATGTGCTGTAACTGTTTCATTCTGAAAACATTTTTATTATGGTGCAACTTTTAATAGATATATAAAGAAACATACATGTGCGAAATACTTGTAATCGAATATATGTGGAGAACAAAAGCAATAGAGTTCAGATAACAGAGAAAGAAACCACAGTACCTGGACACCAGCAAAGAGCAAATCATTGCCCACGACGAGGGAATAGACTTGTCCAACAGGTCCATTTAAACTGAGGTCCAAAGATGTTTCAATGTTCCATGCCTGCAATATTAGCAGAAGTGACCAGCAATTGAAAAATTGGTATCAATGGAGGTAAAATTGAGCAATTGAAAAACAGGTATCAATGGAAGTGTAAAATTGAGCAAAGGAAAATAAGTGCATGCGTAAAAGATAGAATGGACCATATAGATAAAGAATTATGAGATGAAATAATGAGAAAAAGAATAGCAAGCAATATTTTGGCCTGCCCTGACCTTGACGAGATTTGTTAAACCAACAAATAGCCATGGACCTTCACTTAGCATGCAGCCTACTGCACCTCCCAAATTCAAAACACCCACCACCTGTAGAAAAACAAGAAAATCAAGACGCAAAAAAATAAAAATAAAAAATATTAGCATTCCGGAAAGTAACTAATAAAACAAGCTAAAGGCAAAAAATTAATGTCTTATTTTGCCCTTGTTTGAGCCCCATTCTTTTGGAAAAATGCATTTTTCAACAATGTTTTGACATCATTTCAACCATACATTATTCAATAAAATAATATTACACGCAAATCCAAAATTTTTCCTTATTTTTTAGCAAACATTTCCCATCAATATACTATTCAAAAATTCATTCTTCTTCAAAAATGGGGCTCAAACAAAGCATTTATGTCAGAGTTAAAAATATCAATTTCTGTATTTCATTTTTTTCTGGTAATACTCAAAAACTTATTTTCCTACTTGTATTGGTATCTTTTATGCAAACTTTTACAGTGAAAATATTCATTGGTCAAAACTCAAAAAACCACCTTCTATCTTTTCTCCAACTTTTACTTGATAAATAAGATTTTGTTTATTTCATACATAAGACCATAGGCATATGAGCATATATTCATTTGGTTTCAACCAAAATACTAGATTTTGAAGTAGCGAAGAACTCAAACCAATAAAATGCAATATGTGTGGCTTATATTTTATACATAGATGTGTTAATTTTTTATTAATTTATGCAATAACTCACTAATCACATGTATGTCAATACGAGGATTGAAGCAATGATCGATTATAAATAGCATTATTCAAAAAATAATTGGATTGGAAAAAAAAATTGATACAAAAACAAAACTAAAATATCTTTAATTTAGTAGAAAACGCTATCACGTGCATTACACGAATTTTGTATTTATCGTATTTTTATTAGCGTGTGAATTTTAATTTTTTGAAAAGTTTTTGAAATAATATCTAGAAATATTTTCAAAATATAAGAAAATGATTGCAAATTATTTTTACAATTGTAACAGTATTGTGTTATCTAAAAAAAATATGCTCGAATAAGAAATATACGAGATTGTACAAACTATTTTGTTTGTATTCTTTGATAGTATTGATATGATTAAATTAAATGTGAATATTATATTTCTAAATTTTGTGTAATTCAATATTAGAAAATTGAAGATTGAGCACAAAATTATAAATCGACTTGCTTATTCATATGCGTTTTATATTTTGTCATTCATATATTTTAATATTTATTTTATATTTATGTTGAAAAAATAAAAAATCTGAATTTTTTTTCTAACATTCGGTTTGGTAAGTGAATGTATAGTGTACTACATTCTCGATATTTGTAAGTGCAAAAATTGGTATATACAGTAAGCTGCAAATACAGTAGGTCGCATATACGATAAACTGCAAATACGATAAATTGCTTACATGTACGATAAGTTGTAAATACGGTAAGCAGCATATATGGTAAACTGCAAATACGGTAGACAGTATATACAGTATTGAAATTTATTGTAGTGAACGAAACCGGATTCATTCATACCGTATTTGCAGCTTACCGTATATGCAGCATATCGTATTTGCAGCACATCGTATGTACAGCATACCGTATTTGCATCTTACCGTATTTATAGCATACCATATTTGTATCATACCATATATACATCATATCGTATTTGCGTCATACCGTATTTGCACATATTGTGTTTAGATATCGTATTTGATAGATATTGATTTTTGTACATACCGTATATGCACTTTACGTACTGTATATGAAACATACCGTATTTAAGCATACCATATTTACAGCTTACCGTATATGCATCAAACCGTATTTACAGCATATCATATTTGCACATATTGTCTTTAGATACCATATTTGGTAGATATTGATTTTTGTAATTCAATATTGTTTTCTTTTTTATAATTGTATTTCTGGAAATTAAAAAAAAAAGATTATGAAATTGCTAATTTTAAATGTGTTTTTTTGTTGAAAATAAAATTTTTTTTTTATGCTATTTGTTAAAAAAAAATTATTGTAAATTTATTAGCCATTTTTCACTGAAACTTAATTACAATAATTTTGTATTTATCATAGTCAATGTAACGTGCTTTGCATGAATTTTGTATTTATCATAGTTTTATTAGCGTATGAATTTTAGTTTCTAGGAAAGTTTTCGAAGGAATATCTAGTAATATTTCCATGATATAAAGAAAATTATTACAAAATATTTTTACAATTACAATAGTAAAAAAAATATGTTTGAGGTTATACAAAGTGAATGTGAATTTTTCCTTCCAGACAAAAAATATATGCTACTTGAATATATAATAATTCACATCACTTCTCTCATATACTGATCAAATAGCTGCATTTATGCTCTGACACTATAAATGTGCTAGAGTTGACATAATACATAATAAATGAATGTTGAGTCAGAAAAATGAATTTTGAGTGGTACATTCATAAATTACGTATGGTGAGTGTGTATCAGCATTTCTTAACCATATATGTACCTAGTATACAATTATACCTGTGTCTATCAAGGCAGTGAATTAATGGCATTGGCACATGGAAGGAAAATAAAATTTTCCCAATACTTGTTTTTTCTGTAGAAATGAAAGAACATATAATGCTTGAACATAAAACAATTCACAATACAAACAAAAAAATAGTATAGGATCCACCTCTCACAATCCTAATACTCCCCTTGCAACTCCATGATTTTGACTCAACAATCCGAATACTCCCCTTACAGTAAATATTGTCCGAGAAGTTGAAATTGTTGCGCGGAGTGTTCCATTGCGCAGAGTGTTCCATTGTTCTCTATATAATTTTCAAAAAAAATAATTAATTACTATTAATGTATTTAGTCTAATTACTAATTAAAAAAATAAAATAAAATGTGCGATGTATGGTAGGGCTGTGCGGAGTGTTCGCATGCTGTGCGGACACTCTACTGTGTGCGGAGTGTTCGTCAGGTGTATGGACACTCCGCACGGTCTTAACTATAACATATTGTTTACCAAAAGTGAGATAAAATACTATCACAAACCATGTGTGGAGAGTCTACATCATGGCAAAATTCTCCGCACAGTGCAGAGAGATGGTTTGCAAATCATGTGCGGAGAATCCACACCATGGCAAAACTCTCCGCACAGTGGGAGAGAAAAAAATCTCCTTGTGCAGTGCGGAGAGAGTTGATCACTTCGCGCAGTGCGGAGAGATTTTCTTTTTCTTTTTTTTATCGGTAATTTTTTTCTTTTTTTCCTTCCCTACTCTTCTTTATTTGTTTACACAATATCTATTTTTTCCTACTTCTTTACGCCATTTATCTTTCTTCTCTTCTATTACTCCATTTTTTTTCCAATGACGACGAAATCTTAACTATGACATATTGTTATAACATATTTTTACCAAAAGTGAAATTGAAACTGAGATAAAAAGCTATGACAAACCATGTGCGGAGCTCTTCGCACCATGGCAAAACTCTCCGCACAGTGCGAAGAGAAAAAAAAATCTCTTCGCACAATGTAGAGAGAGTTGATCTCTTTGTGCAGTGCGGAGAGATCAATTGATCTCTCTGCAGAGAGATTATTATTATTTTTTCTCGGTAATTTTCTTATTTTTTTCTTTCCCTACTTTTCTTTATTTGTTTACACAATATTTATTTTTCCTATTATTTTACGTCATTTATCTTTCTTCTCTTCTACAACTCCATTTAAGACACCAAGAGATGACATCATGAAATTTTGTCATAAAATCACAACTTAAAGTTTATTTCTAGTAAAAGAAGGCTTCCTGAATTTCTTTGTAACTCATACTCCAATCAACAATTTATAACTACAATAACAAGATGATATCCAAAACCTCTATCTCAATTAGCATTTTTTATAAAAGAAGACATGAAATAAATAAATGAATGGAGAACAAATCATTTACTCATTTACCACTAATGAATGCACAGGTCAAGCCATCATAAAAGCAACAGAAGTAGTGAACAATCTAGCAAACAATAATTCAACGGATGCTTCTGAAAGCTGTAAATTGTAGAAGGAGTGACCACATGAAGGAGTGCAGACCCAAATCGTAGAAGGATGAAGAAAAGGCGGTGTAGTCGTTGTTTGATTTTGTTGATGGTTTTCTTTTGCCTCCATCAAGTCAGAAGAAGAGCAGAGAAATGATTATAGGAGTGAAAAAATGGAAACGGTATGGTATTAGCCGAAAAAAATAAAAAAAAGGTACAAAAAATGACGTCATTTTATTCTTTTGTATAGTATTTTCGGATTAGTTTATTGTTCCATCCACAGTAACATCTCGTTCCCCCTTTTTAATAGAAGTTATATATATATATATTAGAAAGAACAAAAATTATCGTATAAGCAAAGCCCTTTTTTGAGCCTCATTTTTTTTTGGGGAGGGATGCATTTTTGAATAGCGTATTGATAAGAAATGTGTGATTTAAAAAAAAAGTTCAAAAATTATCTGTAATATTATTTTATTGAAAAATGTGTGATTGAAATGATGTCAAAACACACACACACACACACACACACACACATCCCCCCCCACCCAACAAATATAACTTATTTAAACCCTTCAATACAAGTTATAGGAATTTCATCAAGTCGATTTGTCGTAATCCCATCTAGATATAACCACATAAAATGTTTTGTAAACATGCCCACTTAGCAAAATTTATATTTATCATGCAAATTTAAATGTGATTTTATTATTAATATTTTTAAGAAAGTAAAAGAAATCTAGATAACTATACATATAATGCTTTCGAAAATTAGATATCAATGTAATATATACGTAACGTCTTTCTTTATCCATTTTTCTATGCCACATCCTTATGATGGAATCCCTATCAACTTTAATTAAAGAGAAATTTCTTTAATAATTTATATTTTACTTTTAGGACATAATTTCTATAGCAATTCATGGTTGCGTTAAAGATGTTCTTACGAAAGATTGGTTGGTATTACAAATATTATTTTCTTTTTGTCATAATTTATATATTTTTTCCCCTTGTTTTATTTATATTTAATTAAAAGTACGGATATTTTAACCCTACTTGGGAGTGATTTTAATATAAATCAAAATTAATAATCAATTTTAACAGCATATTTTATGGGACTCATAGTTTTTCGATTACATGTTTCATCAACTTTTACCAAGATTTATTTAAAATATAATTTTAATCCCTACCAAACAAGAGCAATCTTTTTATAACCATTTGACTTTTTAAAGGTCAATTGGATAGAAACCATCCAAAGTGGAAGTCAAGGATGTTTGCACCATAGGTCTAGGGATCATTTGCACCAATTTCCTTTAAATTATAAAAATGGGGTTAATTATAAATAGAAAAAAAAAATAGTAATTGATAAGTTGACAATACTTGTGAATAAAATAAAATGTGGATAAAAAGTAATTCGATCATTTATGAATAATTTATAAATAGTAACCAAAACAATGGCACTTGAATGATCAAGAATGCTTGTTTGTTTAACGAGCTAAGAAATGAAGGATTTAAAATTCACAAACATGTTTGGTAGGAAAATTTACTAGATTGAGTTAATCTTTTCAGTGAATGGGATAGATCAATCTCCATAAAAATTAGTAATCAGCTTGAAAATCGATTTCCTTACATGTAAAAGTTAGGAAAGTTAAAAGACTTGTGATCTAATTCAATAAAAGTTCAATTTGACCCTTTGGAACCACATCGTTTACTTTTTGGTTCAATATCGTTTAAAATGAATCTATATTCAAGGTTCAAAAATATTTGAGAACGTTGTTTTTTTTTTCCGTTTTGCGCTTAGTTTATAAGATTATTTCTTTTAGGATAGGTTCTTCAGAAGTGTGGAGTATTGGGAATGAATATTTTTTATTCTCTGATTTATTATTTCTATTCTTACTCATGCGTCTTAGTAATTATTGACAAATTACACTCTAATGTAAGTAATCAGCGCCTATTTGACGGCATTTTTTTTCAAGAAAACATTGATTCGTACAGTTGAAGCGGGCTTTTAGTGTTTATACAAACATGGATTATTTTGTATAAACAATGAACCCTTGAAATCTAGATATAAACAATTATGAAGAATATTATACGCTTATAATATACAAGAATACTTGGAATTGGTTTAATAACTTTTATTTGTTGAATTAGAAGATTTTGTTTGTGTCAAATTTGAAGAACTATTTTGTCCCAACTAAAATACGGGCCATCTCCTTCCGTCTATCACGTGTCACCTAAAAGTTTGAGGTATTTTCGAGCTTACAGTAGAAGGACACAATGGAGAAGATAAAAAGAGGGAAATGAATATAAAACTAATATCAAGTCAAAATGGCATCAAAAGTCATAAACTCTAAATCTTGGGGTTTAAGAGTATATGAATTGAACTTTACGGGAGTTCTAGCAAATAAAACATTTGATTTCAAAATTTGCAATGAAACAACATAAAGCCAACTGCCAACATAACCAATCAAAACATCAATCAGCAAAGGCACAAATAGCATAAATATAAATAATAAAAACTCAAGGGAGGGGGAGATTTTGGCCAACTGAGGATGGACCGGAGTGCCCCACTTGAAGCCTCTTTCCATAGGAGGAACTGAATAACAGCTCCATCTTCTGCTCAGTGCTGTGCACCTATTTACATCCTCTCTGTCTTTTGTTTATCTTTTACACACAGGTGAGTATTGAAAAAAAGTGATTCCTCATATATTTTGGACAAATTCTGGATCTGGGATTGCTTTTTCGAGCTCAAATTTTGATGGGATTTTCTTGAATCTTGTTTGTTTGATATTTTTATGCGTTTCTAAATGTTGGGTTTATGATATTTGAAAAATATCTTGAATTTGAAGATTTTGGGGTTTGAATTGGCTCCGTTTGGTGTCTTCTGCTCGAGTTTGAAACTTTTTGCCTCAGGTGGTGCTTTTTCTGTAGTAGTTCTTCTTTATTATTTTGTATATTCTGCTCTCAGCTTGAATTTTGTATAAATACATTCTTGATCCATGTAAGAATGATATTCTAGGGTTTTTGGCTTGTTATATTTTGTCTCTTCTGTTGATCTCTTATTAAAATTTTATAGTAGTTCAATAAAGACAGTGAAAAGTTTCTTGTTTTTGTGTTTTTCTTGTACACTTGGTACTTTTTCAGATCCAGCTACTTGGGAATTGGAGCTTAGGTTTTGATCTTATGCCATTCTGAGGTCAATCTGTCGAAATATATGCCCAGCAAACTTCACATGGCGGTCATTTTTCAAACTCCACCAACTTCAGCCTGAAGCTTCTTTTAATCTTTTTGACTGTGACTGCTGTGTTGTCATGTGAACAACAATCAACTATTTTGACTTGAAAATTTTGCATTCTTACTTATTGGAAGAACCCTAAAGTAGAGTTCTTGTCTGATTTCCCATTATTTCACGGGTTAAACTTTTCGTATGGCTGTTGCCAAGAGCGACAGGTACACTGAGCAATCATGTTATTCGCACATTTGTTATAGAGTAGCAAGTTTGAGGGAAACTATTTTGGATGCGAACCAGACTGCAAATTTGAATGATCAATATGTTATTGGAAAACAGTTGGGGTTGGGGCAGTTTGGCATAATCAGGGAATGCATGGATAAGTTAACTGGGAAGGTTCTAGCGTGCAAATCTATTGCTAAAGATAGGTTAATCACTCGAGAAGATGTTCGCAGCATCAAGCTTGAGATTGAAATAATGACTAGGCTTTCTGGGCACCCTAATGTCGTTGATCTCAAGGCCGTTTATGAGGAGGAAGATTATGTGCATCTACTGATGGAACTTTGTGCTGGAGGTGAGCTGTTCAGCCTGTTGGAAAAGCATGGGAGGTTCTCTGAGCCCAAGGCCCGTACTCTTTTCAGGCACCTGATGCAAGTGGTGATGTACTGTCACGATAAGGGTGTTGTTCATAGAGATTTAAAGCCCGAAAACATCCTTCTAGCCACAAGTTCTTCTTCTTCTCCAATTAAATTGGCAGATTTCGGTCTTGCAACCTACATCAATCCTGGTAGAGTCCCATGTTACTGTGATATTCGTTGCTACTAACAATATAGGATATTAATTTGAGTCGACGTTCTTAGCATTTTTAGTTTTCCAAAACAGGACAAAATTTGCATGGCACTGTTGGCAGTCCATTTTATATAGCTCCAGAGGTCCTGTCAGGAGGGTATGATCAGGCAGCTGATGTCTGGAGTGCTGGTGTGATACTTTACATTCTTCTCAGTGGGATACCGCCGTTCTGGGGGAAGACTAAGTCGCGAATTTTTGAGGCTGTTAGGACTGCTGAATTGCGATTTCCGTCTAATCCCTGGGATTCTATATCTTACTCTGCGAAGGAATTGATTAAGGGAATGCTTTTTGTAGATGCTTCTAAAAGGCTAACAGCTCAACAAGTTCTGGGTAGGTTGCATTGTCTCTTTCATCCACACAGCTATTTGAAATTCGAATTTCAGTTTCCTATTTCAGCTTCTTATGGATAGTAGTCTCTGTTCATAACTGACGATTTGTATTAAAACCCAAGAAGATACACATTGATGTGAATCATTAGAGTGCAAAAAGAAGGATAAAACAAACTGGCAGAAAAAGCAACCTTGATAATCCAAGTGATTCATCCTCAAATTTATTGGAAAATCATCTGAAAATTGTAACAATACTTGTAGGATCAACTGTCAAGACTAAACAATTAGGTGATTGCCCAAAATAATTCATCTGTAATATTTTACCTGGTAATTGATGTGTACTATATATAGGTTCTCTTTATTCCTATGTCAACAAATATCATCAGTCCCTGAAGCAAATATTTGCATTCCATAGCGATGAGAAATAGTCCTGAAATTCTCTGGTGAAAATATATATCTTGTGAAGCTGTAATTTTTTCTTTCTTTTTCTCTTTGTTAAGTTGTGAAGTCTAATTAATGCTGTTTCACGGAGCTAGCGTGCAGATCGATCTCTACGATGAGGTCGCCGTGGTGATTCGAAGGGGGTAGGAAGCCCCCTTACCCCCTCCCGGGGGGGGGGGGGGGGGGGCCGATCGATCTCTACGATGAGGTCGCCGTGGTGATTCGAAGGGGGTAGGAAACCCCCTTCCCCCCGGGGGGGGTGGGGGTGGAGCCCCTGTACCAAAATATAATCAAGGGTAGTCTAGGAATTTGAGCCTTCGTAAATTTTGATTTTTTCCTAATTTGTCTTATAAATAGGGAGCAGTCATTAGACTTTGTAAATTACCACCATAAAATAGCAAAAGAGAAGTTAAAAAAGATAGGTGTACAATTTTAGATTGTAAACTTTAATCATGATGATAGAGGACGAAGTCTCACATTGAAATGAACATCTATAAATCTTGTGTATCTTTATTTCTTTTTGTTTATTGATTACTCTCGATGGAATAGAATTAGGGTTTCTAATTCTCAACATTCTTTTGGCATGTAAAACAAATGGTCTTGAGGGATTTATCTCTATATTATAATTTGGATGACACCAGAATTCTGCTTTGGGGAACCACGCTTTGGATTTTTCCATATCCATTGCTGTTCAGTATTATCACATCAACCATTTATTGAATGTTCAGGTCTGGAATGTATTCACCGGATGTAACACTGTACGTGGCTTGTAATGCTTTCTTAAATTGTAGTATAGAGATATAGATGTAAGATGCTTCGCTAATTTAACGAAGTATACTCCTCTCTCCTACATAATGATGGCCACCTTTTACAGACCACTTATGGGTAAGAGAAGATGTGCAGCTTTCCGTTGAACCTCATGAATGTAAGCAAAATTGTGGATTGGATCCAGACAAAGGTTGTTTTTCTCCCTCGCTAATGCCCAGGAATCAGGATCTCAGTTTTGGAACTGAATCGCCTTCTATGGGTGAAATCCTGTCGCCTTCTTTCACATGCAGATCGTCATTCTCCTCTTTCCTGATGGACCCATTGACACCTTCATTTCAACCTGGTGGATTTTCTTTCTGTAGTAGTGGCGGATCAAACACACTAGAATTTTCTACTCCTGTCGTCGCACTGCCAAGCTTTTCGTTCTTCAGCCCAGGTAATGTGGTTGAACAAGGGAACGGGGCTTTGGCTCTTGGCATGAACCCCTCCAGAGTCAACTTGGTCGAGAGAGGTAATATATTTTCGACTTGGTATGCAACAGTGAGTAGACCTGGATAGTATGAGGAACTAGATTTAAACTCTTTTTCTTTCTCTAATACTATCCAGTGCTATTCAATCTTCCTAACCAAACATGGCAGCATAGCTCAAACTCTTGTTGATTTTGTCTTTTGCAGATTCTGATTTGGGGAAGTTTTTTAAACCCCCAGATTCTTCTCAATGCTTGGAGCGTGCAGCTGGTGTGATGGACAAAAAGGAAGTTGAGGTTAGAAAATGCGGGTCTGGCAAGTCTAAACTATCTGGTATCCATAGCAGGAGAAACCGCACTATTGGCCTTGGCGAATTTGAGCAGCTTGATCTCATGGTGACTGAATCAGTTATTCGATGGGCCTCGTGCACTGACCTATCAACACCAACGTCACTTAGGTCTTCTCTTGTCTGTTAAAGGATTGAACTCGCAATTCTATATGCTAGCAGCTTGACAAAATAGGCTAGTAGCCGATGAGTCTTTGCCATGTGTAGAGAGTTAGATGTTTTGCTTATTCTCAGTCCCTAATTGTCCTGTGGTTTCCCCGATTTCCTTCATCAACATTAAACTTTCATGTTTATTTTGGCGTTGTGTATCGTTAAATGACATGAATTAGCTTATTATGTATCAAAAGCACGATTGACTGTGCATGAATTACCAGGCAAAGTTGTTTTGAATGAGGCCTATGATTCATTCCTCTCCTTTTTCTATATTTCTTTTCAATTTTTCGGCCAAAATGTTGGAGAATGAGCATGTCATCGAAAATGGAACCAATAAACAAGTGCGGTTGACTTATTTTGCCATAAATAAATGACGATGATATTCAAAATTAAGACCTTTACGTGCATCACATTAAATCATCTCGGCTATTGTTATCTATTACGATGAATCGCTTCCTTTATCAACATTAAGATTGTGTTTAGTGGGGGTTAAAATTTGAATTTTTTAATAGATTGTAATAGAAGTTTTTGACATATGTGGTTGAAAGGTTGTGAAAATCATAAAAGATGTGGTTAATATTGATTGTTTAATTTTGACTTAGATTAAAATCAAATTTTAATCCAAAATTTCTTTTAAAACTTATGGATTAACAGAAAAATTGATTTTGAATCTTTCGATGAAAAAAAATGGAAAGGCTTTAAGGATATGGCAGCTTGGGAGGGGTAATGATAAGGTTCTCATTCATGGACACAATTAGAGGTGGTCACACAATTCATGGAGCCCACAAAACTCTCCATTTTCACTTCCTTGCAATGAACTCTTCCAAAATCTTTTCACAAACACATTTTCTTTCTTCTAAATTAATGGGGTACCAGATTCAGTGTTTGAATCCTCAACTTTCTTGCAGAATACCCAATATTCAACCAAATCTCAGAACCCGCAGAATATCCCTTTTCTCTTCATACAAAAATGTGAATGCAGAAAAAAAACAGCAGCCCAGTTCTACCTCAACGTTAACTGAAGCAAAAGTAACAGAATCAGATACATACAGTGTTAAATTCGAAACTTTAGGAGGTTGTAAACTTGGTATTTCGAGATATCCCGATTTTGAGTACGATGCAGCAGGGGGAACAGGAACAGGGACAGGTACAAAAACCATGAATGATGCAATTTCTGTTGAATTTGACATAAAAACGTTGTATATTCCTCCATTGTCGACTGCCACTACTAAATTCTTGGGAATGCGCTTGCCACCATTTCTGAGAATTGATATTGTTCCGGAGCTCTTCCAAGGAAGCATCAATCAAGAATCTGGTCAGGTACATCGTACAACTCTCTTAATGTTCATGGTTTCTGACCCATCTACTTTTTGCAAGTTACTTATCTGAATTTTAAGCAAAATTTATTGTTTTAAGGCTTATTTTAGGATCCTTTTTATTGTAAAAATGGAATTTGGGTGAAAAGAAAACGAATTTCATGAAATCAAATTGCCTAGAAATTGTTTTACTGGAAATTGTCAATTATTATGTTTAATTAGTATAATTTTTCACGTGGAATATGTTGAAATAAAAGTTTTTTTTTTGTGTTTGTTTAACTTTGTTTTACATGAAAATTGTCAATTAAAGGGATATAATTTACTGGTATTGGGGATAGAATTTATTTCCATTGCCAAAAAAAAGTCAAGAAAATCATTTATCATTTGGTGTTTGTTTGACTTTGTTTTACATGAAAATTGTTAATTAAAGGAAAATATTTTTTTATAATTAGGGATATAATTTGTATCCATTGCCAATAAAAAAAAAAGGACAACAGGTGGTGGGAATTGATATTCAAGAAAAATGGGGAAAATGTCTAGGTGGCAAAAAAAGTGGGAAAACCAATTACCTGAAAAAAAATGGTATCAAACAATTAAAAAGTGGAAGTTGAAATTTAAATTCCATGAAAAATAAGGTGCTATCAAATAGGGTCTTTGAGGGTATTTGAGACTCATTTTCATGTAAAAATGCATTTTAGAATAGTAAAATGATGGAAAATGTGCGGTTGAGAAATGAGAAAATATTTTTGACTTACGTGTAATATTCTTTTAATAAAGAATGTGTGGTTAAAAAAATAGAGAAAAAATGGGTACCAGACGAGGCATTGGTTTGTTAAAAAATTACTTTTGAGCTCGGCGAAACATGCTTTGATACGATAGAACCTTATAGTTATTGGGCTCTTGCATAATCGAAAGTTACTTCTTGTGCTGTTTTGCTAGGTTGATCTGAAGTTCAAGGCCAAATTCTGGTTTTCCATAGGGAGTATCTACAAAGCTCCGCCATTGACGGTGCAGACAGTTTTAACATCAGAAGAATCAAATGGAAAGATCAAAAGAGGAAGAGGGGAGAAATTGAATAAAGAAGGGAGGTGCAGTCTAGTTGGGGTGGCAACAGTCGAACCTATTAATGACTTTTTCATGGATTCATTCCTTAGTCTTCCTACTGAATGCCTTGCCAATTTGAATGCTACAATCTCATTTTCAAGTGCTACTCTAGTTTGATACGTCATATTTGACTATACTAGTTTGAACTCGACAAGATAGTAAGCAAGATTTTGGCCATTTTCTTTTCCATTTTTAATACTAGATTGATACAAGTCATGTTGTGAACTTTGCTTCCTTGTAATTCGATAAGCATTTAAATCACCTCAATTTGTTTCACTTTACCATTTCTTGAAGCGACATCGCAAAAAATATAGTGAATTTTAAAGAATGACATATTGAAGAAAATAAAAACAATCGAAAATAAATCTCAAAAAAGTATATAATTTCAAGCGAGATGAGGTTTGGTGAAGAAGGAGATGGGGTGGGGGTATTGGTTTTGTTTTTTGCCTTTTTAATTTAATAAGGAAAATGAATTATGTCAAAAATGCTCTTACTTTATTTGGGAAAAATAATTAGATTTTCAATTTTTGGGGTCAATTGAGGATTTTGGCTGTCAAACAGACGGAAATCGTCATTTTGGACTGGTCCTACGAATTTTTTAAAAGTTTGGTATCTCCGGTGACACAAACTAAAGATTCGAGCAAAGTCTGCTAATAAACGAAAGGTTTGATACCTCGGCTGCAATTTTCCCTAAATGTTATGGTCCTCTTTAAATAAAATCTTCCACGTGTCCAAAAACTACTGGTGCAATAATCAAGACCATAACTCTATTAGTGGTGCTCACGAGATTTCTGATTGGTGGTCCCCAGATACACTCTACTGCGTAGCTGCTCCTCTCCAATTCCCTGCAATTACTACTTTTAAACTAGAATCACGCTATCAGCGGGTGTTTGCCCCCATTCTTAGCTAATTTTAATGGATGAAATAATTTTTTTAAAAAAATGTGTGGTTGAAAAAGAATGAATTTTTATTTATTTATATGTAATATTATTTTATGGAAGATTTTGTGATTAAAAATAAGAGGAAAAAAAATGAGAATGAGAATGAGATAAGAATGGAGGCCAAACATGGGCATTCAGTTGATTTCGACCTAATGATAGCTTAGCTCCAGTCTAATTCCCTTTACTTTACTTCAATTTATTTTTTATACTCATTTTCAATTACATATTTACGCAATAAAATATTCTAAACATAAATTCAATTCTATTAACCACATATTCTTAAAAAAAAAAAAAACTATTCAATACTATGTTTAAAAAGGGCATTACCTATGACCTCTAATCATTGTCTAAATGGAAAACGTATTATTGTGCTTGGATCTAAAATTGCAGTAGAAATTAAAATTGAAGCTTCCGTGTTAGATTGATTAGTAGACCACATTTTTGGTAAATTGATGTTTCATTAACTTGTTAAATTTCACCAAAAAAGTATTACATCGATTATTTAAATATTCATTCTAAGAATTATATGATAGAATTTTCAAGTGACAATAATTTCTACATTTTAAAAATAAACATATTTAAGTAATTACACACAATTAAATTTAAATGCTTAAAAAAGTAGGTTTAAAAAATTACTTATGTACTCATAAGTTACCTTTTAAACTTAGGCAAACATGGTCTTACGATTCATTCGGTTGACTGGGAAGAGAGTACTTCATTAGTTCATTTACATCGGAGAAAACTGGAGTGGAAGGCACTGGAGAGGAGTCTGTCCTCAACCACACCTCAAAGAACCTTTCCATGCCACGCCCCAGCATAGTAATTGTTCTTTTTTCTTTTTTTCCTTCTCTTTGTTGCAATCACGTTCGCCATTGACGCACCTCACGTCAAAGTGTATACCCAAAAAACCCACAAAAAATAATCATTAATCCTTACGTTTATGAAGTCTGGAGTAAAATTTATCAATTTTTGTGGAAATTGATCAATCAAAGACGATTCCTTGTGCTTTGTAGAAAAACAAAGTAGATCTTTTAGAACCTTTTCTCCCTTTTGACTTTTGCTTCTTTCTTGTTAGTGAATCTGATGGCACAATGTCGCTTCAGTCTTTTCTTGTTGGCATTTTTCTGTTTTTTCGGAGTCCTCAACGCGAGCCCTGGTGACTCCGATCCGATTTACAAGTAAGCTTCATCAGATTTTGGAGAATTATTAGACTGCAAAATTGGATTTTAGTATCTCCCTATTTTTAAAAAGTTAATTTTTTTTAATATGGCTACGGACGTTAGACTTTAGAGTAGTTATAATTAGAACTTATATTAATTCCTCAAGGAAAATTGTTATTGGATCTTCTTCTTTTTGAAATTAATTGTAAGGGAAAACATTTTTTGACTAGATTACAATTGATCAATTGATGTATTAAGCTGTAATCATATAGGACAATCACATGGAAAATTATTTCGTGTTCATAAGTTGTAATATGGGGTCAAAGATCCGTCTTTTAAGTTTGATGTGGCTGTTCTTTGCGATTGATGCCACAAGTTCTGTGGTTGCTTCTTAGAAGAAATTGTTTAGCTTTCAGTTATGCATGTAAGTTTAGGTAGGACTGATAGAATTACAATAAATTCAGCTCAATTAAACTTTGCCTCATGCTCGAGAACCTAAAGTGAATAATCCCGATTATAGAGGATTTGAGTTAGGAAAACATCAGAACAATGTATACGGCACTGCTGCCTCATCTGCGAATTGTCCCAATTTATTTTTTCATGCACCATACACTTGATATTGTTTTATTCAGTTTTGATACATTTATACCATTGTTAACAGCTTTATTTACACTCTTTGATATGGTATACAATTTTACCATTGATTTTAACAACACTTAATAGCCTCGATTTTGACACCTCAAAGGGGCGTGCCCTCAGAATTCATTTAATTTTAGCCCCTTTTTGGGCTCCATTTTAATTTAATGTATTTTTCTCTTTCTTCATTTTCAACACACATTTTTTTTAAATAAAAATAATATTATACATAAACTCAAAACTTTCCTTACTTTTTAACAACACATTCTCCTTAAAATTAGTGTTCCAAAATACATTTTTCCCAAAACCTCTCTAAAATGGAGCCCAAACAAGGATCTATTTTTGACAAATATACTTTGCAATCAATATTCTACTGGAAATGTCATTCTACTTATTCCAAAAAGGGTGAAAGATAGAATTGTCCGGAAATCTTATGCATAAATACTTAAGGAGGAGGATCAAGGATGGCAGGCTGAAAATCATGTAGGAAGTAGACTCATGTGGACAATAATTGATGCCTATCAGCATGATTTGGGTTTTTGCTTCGGACAAAATTATTAATTTTGATTGTATGACAATTCCAAGGAATTTGACAGTGAGGATATGAGCAAGATGGAGAAGCTATGTCTGGCAAAAAGCTTTGTACAACTTACAGAGCAGCAACAAAAAAATGACCGGTTGCTTGAACATGTTCAATAACATTCTGATCTACTATACAAAGTTCAAGTTCATTTCAAGATTAGAATTAGACTAGGCCGTTTTTCTTCTCATCTCGTTTCCTAATTCGTAAAGAGTCTATCAACAACCTTGATATACAAAGGAAACCCACTAAACTTAGAGCACAGGTAGGGATATCTCTTTTCAATGAGGAAAATAAGGCAAATTAGAATAAGAAGATACTTTGCTATGATTGCTTAATCTATGAATCTAAATGATAAAGCCTTTGATATGAGGTACATGAGGCAGGCTAGCCAGTTCCAAAGGTGAGAGAAAGGGGCAAGGATAACTGCTGGCTTTCTATTTTTACATCTAAGAAAGAATGATGATTTGAATCATTCATTAGATCTGTAAAAAGCTCCATAAACTTGGTTGTGTAGAAGTATTCTAATCATTCATTAGATCTGTAAAAAGTTAGTAGTGCTTTCCTTATTGTAAAATGAGGTATGATGATCACATGGTGGCGGCACTGAGAGTAATGCAGGTATATAGTCTCAGGCAGTACAAGTATAGGTAGAAATTCAATTTCATTTGTGTTTCACATGTTTGCTTCGCAAGAGAGTATTTTAATTTATCCCAAGTAACTAGGTTTATTCCAAGATCATGGGTATTTGCCATTTGGAGTTGTGAAAATCAAAATGTTGACTGAGTGGTTTGTACTTAGGGTTGTTTGACATATATTCTACGATGCTATGGATCAGAAACCAGTTTGAATTAAGGGCAATGATTTAGTTGTAGGTTTTATCCTCGAAATCGTACATTGTAGCATAATCTTGAGAGAAATTTGTTGTAGTATAATTCAGCTACAATCATCGTGGCCTTCAAAATGTTATCAATTGATATCCCTTTCTAGAATCAACTTTAATCCCAACTTAATTAAACATGAGCATTGGCTGGATTTAATCCTGTTTTTGAAAGGAGGCCTGGGTAAAATTTCTGGTGGGTGAACTTTCCAAGGTGGGGATTTGATCATGGTGCCGACGGTTGGCCGCCAAGCATTACAGACTTCTTCTTTATGCTGCTCAATATTCATTTGTAACCTATAAAAAAGCGATATCTAAAATGGGAGACAAGAGTGCAATACAAGGGAAATATGGAGGACTAAAAGCTTTTTATTGTGAGTTTCGGATACTAGAGGGTTTGGGCTAAACCTTATATTCAAGCATGTAATTTCTTAATTCAAACACCTTGTGGTTGCAGGCATTTAGTTTGTCAAATCTTATCCTATCAAAAAAGTTTGTCAAATCTTATCAAATTTATTTGGGCTCGCTTTTCCTATACATTTGGCATATGGAATTTATATTTCCTCTGAGAAGAGAGAGTTCATATGACCCCAGACTGGAACAACTAAGAATTTTGGTTGAGAGATCTTTATCATTGTTACCACTTGCACTAATAGAATTGAAACTCTAGGAGCTTCTATAGTAAGCTAACTCTTTTGGCAAACTTTCAGCTGCATGTGCTCGTGTGTGAGAAATAGTAGTTTATACCACAAAATTTAGTTTTTCATTCCTTCTTATAATTGGAGAATTCAGGTGAGTTGGTCATTCTAAGAGTATGGTTGGCAGATTAACTTCACCCCACTATATATGGTACCTTGTTCTCACTGTCACATGCTTGAATTGGCTTAATCCTAAAATAATAATGACTGACTTTGAGCTGCATCTCTTTGCTTATGTTAGTTGGCTTCTTGTAGCAGTTTAATTTTGATGTGGCTCACTGAACCCATGCTTTTTGATTTCAATACTGGCACTGCTAGGACTTGTGTTGAGCAATGTGAGAAGACTGGATGTGTGGGGAACAAATGCTTTCAACACTGCAATTTTTCCTCTGATGGAAACCCCATTGATGGCCCATGGTATCTGCAGGAGCCACTTTATATGCGGTGGAAACAATGGGACTGCCGCAGTGACTGTCGATATGAATGTATGCTTTCTAGGGAAGAAGAAAGGCGGAAACTTGGCAACAAGCCTACTAAGTATCATGGGAGGTGGCCACTCCGACGTATCTATGGAATCCAGGTGCTCAGAGCACTGATTGCCCTACATTATGGAAGGTTAATTAATATTCATTTTCTTTATATTTTATTAATAAGCCTTAATATGTTTGATTCATCAGGAACCAGTTTCTGTGGCTCTCTCTGCCCTTAATCTTGCTGTGCAATTCCATGGATGGGTATCCTTTTTTATCCTTGTAAATTACAAGCTGCCTTTTAGGCCAAATAAGTCCACATTCTATGAATACACTGGCATGTGGCATTTATATGCAATCTTCGCAATGAATACCTGGTTCTGGAGTGCTGTCTTCCACAGTCAGTGAGCACCAATTCTTCTTCCTTTTCCTTCTTCTCTTCATTTACTGTATAATACTGGCACCATCAATTGTAGTTTTTGAATTTCTCCACGTACATGATTTGATCATTCATATGATGACATGTGAATAAAATGTTATTAAGGGATTGAGTAATACTATTCATAGTCCCTCACTGCGGTAGTCGTCCTACGTGGCAGTTTGTGATTTGATGTATCGATATAGTAGTTTTTTCTTGTCACATATATCAAAACACTAACTATCACATGCGTGCCACGTAGGGCGACTGTGGTTGTGAGTGACTGCAAATCACATTATTTCTAAGGGATTTCTATGATGCTGATAAGTTTCTTTGAGAAATTCTTTGAATGTCATTGGGAATATTTGATTTCTCATTACACTTACATTCACATCTTTAACGATTTTTTATGCATATGGCTATGCTTCCTTTGCATATAATAAATAAAAAATATTGGATACTCGTACTTGAATTTATTCAAGTTTCTTACGTGTCTGAAACTGGTATCTTAATGCATTAAGGAGATCGTATGTAATGTAAACTCTTGATGATATGCACGTGTGACCTTGTTTATGTGCTGTTTTTCTTGATATCCTGGAATCATATGCAGAGACGTAGAATTGACGGAGAAGTTAGACTACTCATCTGGTGTGGCATTGCTTGGATATTCCCTCATTTTAGCTACAATTAGAGCTTTCAATGTGAGGCTGGAGGCTGCAAGGGTAATGGTTGCGGCTCCCATAATTGCGTTCACGACAACCCATATCTTGTATTTGAACTTTTATCAATTCGATTATGGTAAGCCCGCTCTCTATGCAGTTTCTCCTAAATATCATTTCATGCATCACTACTGAAAACTAGCAGTAGAACCATATACTTAGAATAGAAAATGATCAGTCTTTTTCATTAAAACAATACTTTTCATGGTCATTGACGATAAGAGAAGAGCAGCAGGAGGAGAGAAACAAGATATTGGATATTTGCTATACCTTATAACATTGAGTAGTGTCTAGCATATATTCTATATTGTACTTCATCCTTTGTATGCCGGTATGACTGAGTTCTGTCTGTGTCCCAGTTTTGTCTTGGAAAAAAGCACCATTAGAAATGATTTTCATTGGAAAGTGAATTCTTTTGAGACATTATATTTTTCAGCCAAAGAGATGTTAATAGCCAAACAAATATTGGAGTAAAATTGTATAAACTATAGAATCAACTGTAAGGACTAAGTAGAGATACTCGGATAATTGTGAAGAAATTATTGATCCTTTACGTGAGTGATGCTGAGTTCTGAGTAATGTATCAAGTACCTAGCTATGAGTCACCAGGAAATATTTGCTAGGTAGCGCTTGAGTGATTTAGTATTTCTGAGAGCATTTGGGAATCAGCAAACATGAAAATGTCTTCAACGAGTTGCCCATGCGATATTCTTGATGATTTAAAACGAGAGGAGTGAGGATTTTCTCAGTGCAGGGACGGAGAACTGGTTCTTTTTGTGTTCTATTATCTTCTTTTATTTGTATGTCGTGCGTACACGAGCATACATGGTAACAATTGAGAAGGGCGAAGGAATTGTTGCTTCTTAGTCTTAGAATCCAAGTTGAATAATGAAGCAAAGAACCTGACATTATGTCATGACATATTTCAGGCTTGAACATGATAGTATGTACAATAATGGGTGCATTGCAGCTTATCCTGTGGGCAGTCTGGGCTGGTGTTACTCGACATCCATCCTGTTTTAAACTGTGGGTCGTGGTTTCTGGAGGAGCCGCTTCCATGCTCTTAGATATATATGACTTCCCTCCATACTGGGGTCTTGTTGATGCTCATGTTCTTTCCCTTGCAACCACGATACCTCTCACTTATCTATGGTGGAGTTTTGCCCGGGATGATAGTGAATTCAGAACATCAATGCTCATCAAGAAGACAAAGTAACGTCTCATTCTCTATCTGGAGAATGTGATTGTATCAACTTATTTGTTGGTTTCTCTTGTATTTGTCTACTTTTTTCTCGCTCTGATGCATTTCCTTGAAATGCTTATCGATGCGGGTTTCTTTGTTTCTAGTCTGAGTAGGTTTAGATTGGACACGTGCTTGTTTCAGCTTTCTTTATTAGTCATGTTTTTGACATTAAAAGTTCCGAGTACCTGTCGTAATAGCAAATATTTTGATTTGGGGGGCAATCTTTAGCACTTTCAAAGCTTGGCCTATTTTCTTACATTTGGCTTATGATTTTCCTTTTTGATAATCCTATACCCTTTATCAGCATGTATGTAGACAACACAATTTATTGTTCTATGTAGTGTTGTTCAATATGAGATGTCAATTTCATGATTATTCTTATTCGTCATAAGATTCCCACCAGGTGAGTACAATTACGGCAATTTCTTCCAACTGTAGAAGAAGACACTAAACACTTTAATTTCATGCTTTAGTTGAAATTTTCTTAAACAACACACACACACACACTAGCAACTTTTGGATCCGTACTATAACTACATGTATTTATACTCATTTTCATATCAATAATGCTACTCAAACAGAGATTGCAAACAGAGAAGGTAGCATCAACCCTTCAGCCATATTGTCGGACAACCCCGGCATTCCAAAAAGAGCCTCCTCATCGGTAAAGAACACATTTTCCAGTGATATAGTGGTAGCTTCCTCCAAGGCCGGTCCTGAAATTTTGGGGGTTTTAGATCAATTTCAAATATGGGACTCTATATATATATATATGTAACAATACATGTAAAGTAAATAATTTTTTTGGGGCCTCACCTTAGGCGATTGCCTTCCTTGCCTATAGTCAGGGTCAGCATCGACTTCCTCCCTCATATCCAACTCGGAATTCAGTTGCCCAAAGCCCTTGTCCGCTTCTGCTGTAGCTTTCTGAATGTCCTTAGCATCGGTGGAGGCCAGAACCTATAGCTTCCAAGCCGAGTCAGCAAAGTTCAAGCAAGCGGACCGCCCTCGAAGCGTTATTGTCGCCACGTTGTGAGCTCTCGCAGCCATTTCAGCGGTGGGAAAGTTCCCAGCCAAATTCTGGACTTCTTGTTGGGTTCTCTTGCTTCACACACCCACTTACCAGAGTTCCTCAGCTTCACTCCCCTATAAACCTGGTGCCTCGTCTCGTGAAACTTCTTCCTCCCTGCAAGCCTTTTTGGGTTGTTTGAAGCTAATAAAACGTCCTCATCAATGAATTGGCTCTGCTAGTGCCATTGTAACATAAAGATGAATACCTCAGTCGATGACCTCTGCACAGGGAAAACTGGTTCCGAGTAGAAATTTGTGAAAAGATCCATTAATCTTGAAAAGCTGTCTGAATATAAGTGCTTAAAAGGGATTTGAGTAGTGATAAGTAGATCTATATGTAAGTGTTCGTTTATATTTGTGATGGAGACTGGAAAGACAAGTTCATTATACGCTCAGTACGCGAATTTTTCACACGGAAAGCGCCAGCTTGAGAGATTCTGCCCACAGTTTCTACTTCATTGTGAATTTAGGTTCCCTCAATGTTTGATGTGGCAGTTTGACTCTTTTTGGGAACTGATATGATATCATAGTATGAAAAGATATTAGTGTCTCTCTTCTACTTTGCTAGAAAATCAAATTTTTGATAAATATTATCACTAGAAATTAATTAAATATATAGTTGAAACTTTGATAAAATATTGTAATTCTTGAAAAATACATGGTTAAAATTAATTATTGATTATAACTTAAATTTTATGATCTTTTGACTGAACCAAATAGGGATTTAATTATATTAAGATTTTAACGGCCAAATATTTCTTAATCAAATCACAGTCCCACGTGGATATAAGTCCCCATAGTGTTATTTATTAATGAATTAAGCTCCTTGTACAAGGAAAGTGCACAATTTTTTTTTATAGATATAGAGGTGACGACACTGTATAATCGGTTTGCTATGTGTTTGTTGTCTAACAGCTAATTAAATTTCGACAGTTGATATCTGTCAAAAAATTATCAAGTAGCCTTGTACCTTTAATACAATTGTTTATTACATATTAATGGAACTCACTTTAATACTATAGGCGTGTAACTTTTAATTTGGGAATATTAGGAAAACAAACCAGTGACAAATTTTGTAGTCAGGAATTTTGCTTGATAATTTGACCCAACACATTTAGAACTTTTGGACCCATCTATGGAGTACATATCGGCCGCAATTGTCCTAAAAAATCTAAGACGCGTTATTTGAGCCCCAATAAACTCGGTGAAGTATTTATTTAAATAACTGTGCTACACGTACATGGTGAAAAACATGGATGACACGTGTTGTCTCACGATTGAACAATTTGAAAAAGTAAAAAAAAAAAAAAACACAATCTTTGCTGCCACTTCAATTTGTCTTCTCCTTTCCTATTTTTAATCCCGACTAACTGGCTTTTTTCTTATTTAAAAGCCTCTGGTGGCTATAAAATTACTTGACCTCATATGGGATATTAGTAGTTCTTTTGCGACAAACAATATTCACCTGTTACGCACAAAAGTATCAAACAAAATATACGCAGAGTCACAAGATTTGAATTTTTTTTGAAAATACTTCGGTACTTTTTTTTTTTTTTGTCATTATACAATCATATTTATCCATGTCACTTATCCGTACTACTAATCAAAAAACCAAGCACGGCTAAGAAGGAACCTAAACTAATTAAACTAACTCAATACATTAAATAATTTATAAAAATTAAATGGAATAACTCCATAAAGACATGTCAGCATATGCATCCACGACATCAGTGTCCATGCAGTAAGGTGGAGGTAGCATCAACCCTTCAGCCATATTGTCAATCAATCCAGGCATTCCGAAAAGATCCTCCTCATCGGAAAAGGACACATTTTCCTGCGATATAGCGGTAGCTTCCTCCCTCGCATCCGACTCGGAATTTGGTTGCCCAAAGGCCTTGGCCGCTTCTGCTGCCGCTTTCTGAATGTCCTTAGCATCAGTGGAGGTCGGAACCGGCAGCTTCCAAGCTGAATCAGCAAAGTTTAAACACGCTGACCTACCGCGAAGCGCTATTGCCGCCACGTCGTGAGCTCTCGCTGCCATTTCCGCTGTGGCGAAAGTTCCCAGCCAGATTCTTGACTTCTTGTTGGGTTCTCTGACTTCACACACCCACTTACCAGAGTTCCTCCGCCTCACTCCCCGATAAACAGGGTGCCTCGTCTCGCGGAATTTCTTCCTCCCGGCACGCTTTTTCGGGTTGTTTGAAGCTAGCAAAACTTCATCATCAGAAAAAGTGGCTCTTTTAACGCTATTGCTATTATCAGATAAAGATGAAGACTCTGGTGCTTCAGTCAAGGACGAGAAATCTTGCACACAAGAAACTGGGTCCGAGTTGAACTTGTTGAAAATATCCATTAATCTTGACAAGCTGGTTATAATGTAATTGATTTGATTATATTTGTCTGTGGATGATTTAGTGTATTTATATGTATGGAGTGATAAGTGATCTACCTTTTTGGACGAGAATATCGCACGCGGAAAAAGCCAGCTGGGGCCGGAGGGAGCTGCCCACGGTTTGAACTGTTTGTGGCTAAGAACAGTGATGGGTGCCCAGCTGTGCCAGGTTAAGTATTATAAGCTGATAAACATTCAACACGTGTCATGGGCGACGTGGAAGTTTTGACTATTTTGACTATTTTGATGGTTAAATTAACATAATATCAAAGAAACAGACAAAAGAATTTTTAATCAGAAGGTAATACTTCGGAAAGTTCCTATTCGATACGACGTCACTTCAATGGAGGAAACTGCGGAGTGAGTGTGGTGACCTCCACGGGTTGACAGTTAATAACTAACAGGATCTGGTGGTTTTCCCACGGAAACGCGTGGACCACGGGCTGATATTTATTGGTCTCATGGAATAACTTCTCTTGCAAGTCGCTAAATTCTAAGCAAGTTGTCGACAGTCTACTGGATGAAGTTCAGGGAACAAAGGAAAAAAATTGCTGCTGGTCTTCGTTAGTACACTCTCCACCCAATTTATATAAATTTAATTTTCTTATTTTCTTGTTCCAATTATATGGTTCTATTTTTTTATTGAGCTTATTTTGTTTTGTGTTGTTCGTTTATTAGTATATACTTATTTAATTTGCTCAGTTATAAACAATTTTTGCACTTAATTTTGAAATTGTACAAATATAAATAAGAGTAAACTAGACAAGTTATTGACAATTTTTTTTTTCAAAATATTAAATAAGAGTTATTAATCCGTGTGAAAAATAAGACAAACTTATAAAAATGGGACGTATGGAATAAATTTTATGTTTATCATTCCAATTTATTTTATAATAAATAAATCTCAAAATTTAAACTTTGTCCAATGTTGGTCACTACGTTATTTCGATTAATTTGACTACAAGAATTATAATAATAATAATAATAATAATAATAATAATAATAATAATTATTATTATTATTATTATTATTATTATTTATTTATTTATTGCAAAGTTATCAAATTGTACAACAATGAAATGTCGGATGGGAGAAATCAAGTACTACACTAGTTTTATGCTAAAAAGTCGAAAATTTAGAACTCAATAAAACAATTTAAGAACCGATCAGATTACAGTGACAATTGACGAATCACAATAAGAACAATCTAGTTCAACTCAAAAACAACCATTTTGCCTCAAAAATTTGTTTTGTTTTGCTTTTTAAAAATTTATCTTTTGACTTTTTTTACCTAATTCGATTTGACCTCATCTTATCTTGGCCGATGCCCAAAGTGGGGATTTAAAAATTGTTTTTCTCCAACCAAGTTGTGTAATCTTTCTCTTAGTTAAATTAAACGTTGCAAACCTATTTAGCAAAATTGTGACAATTGTTCAGCTTACACAATCAATTTAAGTCGACATTGTATTTTTGTTTAAAATTTTGGAGACCACTCATGTTTCTAACCCAAGATTGGTGGGTTCAATACTTTATAAATAAGACCGCGATTCAATTAGAATAACTTAGTACAAAATAAGAGTTTTGAAAGTGAATTTTGAAATGTAGGACAATAATTCAAGGGAACAATTGCTATTGAATAAATAATTAGTTCGTGACTCTAGTTTGAGTCGTGCAATTGAATGGAGTGACGTTATGTAGTTAAATTGGTGTTAAATATCAGTGTACGTAATTTAAAAAGACATCAAGTGATTAAATATCTCGAAGTAAGAGAGACAAGTTTTATTTATGGTGTTCAATCAGTTAATACATTTAACCACAATTAAATTCAAATAGTAAAATCATTTGTATATTTTCTCTTAACAATAAAGTATTGGCTATATTTTGTTGGTTATATAGTTGAGTAAATATTTTGTTGCATGATTATGTCATTCAAGCTGTTAGAACATTTTATTGAATTAATATAATCAAAATTAATTCACTCAATATGGGTAAATCAAGTATGTTATTAATTGAAAACTCCATTATAAGCCCCTATTTGAGCTCTAGTATAATTGAATTGTGGAGAAAATATGTTTTGGAATAGTGATTTTGTTACAGAATGTATAGTTAAAAAATAAAATAAAAAAATTTGAATTACGTGTAATTTTTTTTTATCGAAGAGCGTTTGATTGAAAATAAAAAAGAAAAATAATTTTTTTTTTTTTTAATATGGAGCCCAAATAGGGGTTAAATAATATACATACAAATATTACAAAACGGGTCATAATGGGATGGACTTCGACCTCTGTTATTGAGGCCCATAAGTTGCTCATAACGTTATAGTCAGACCATTAAATTGAATATTTTTTGTCATTGTTGTGGGCTTTAGCCCAACAGGTTTAGGACATGTATTCAATATGTTATATATGAAAATATCCAAACTAAACCAGACACATTTTTATACATAATTCCAACCTCAAAAATTTTATTTCACTTGAAAAACCTTAATTCCTTATATTTTTATATTTTCACTTTAGTCTCTAAGTTTATCAAAGCTACTAATTAGTCCTCGACATGCTAAAGTTGCAAAAAATGCTTCTAAAACTTCAAATAATAACTCATACTCACCTTATAAATATACTTCAATTCTGAAATTAAAAAAAAAAAAAAACAATTTTCCTAAATTACAATCTAGTCCCTAAGCTTTTCAAATATTGCAATTAATTCCTTATGTTCACTTCTATCCTCAACTAACTTATATTATCAACAAACCTTAATTTCAAAATTCATTCAATTAAATCTTATTTTTCAAAATTTCTATTTTGTTTCTTAGAATTGAAGTAATCACAATCCGGTCCTTTAGTTCTCAAACTTTGTAATTAAGTCTCAATGAGAAAATCGGGATTAAAACTTTTCATACCGCGTTTTATAAATTTACATTTTACATATTATATTTTGTATACTGATTACTAAAGCATTATTTGCTGAAAATTTTACAAATATATCATTATAAATATCTGAGTATAAGAAAAACGCTAATTTAAATAAACACTACCTATATATTACCTTATGTAACATTTGGCATGCCATTTTATAATTATTGATTTTTCATTAAGTGTTTTTTATTAAAATATATTTTTTTAATGGGATTTATAAAATTTATTATCTTGGTTTCCGCAACTCTGACATTAAAATGTATAACATATTGAAAAATATAGAAAATTCTTCATTTAACTCTTCCAAGATAATTTTTTTTTTTTAAAAATTTTTAACTTTAAACATTTTCAAGAATGCATGTTGAATTTTGTTTGTAACTACTGCGAATGATTTCTTTTTGTTTGGAAGACTTCATAGAAGGGAGAGAATAGTATATAAATATAATTAATAAAATATATAATTTTGTATTAAAAGGAAACTGGAAAAAAATTAGGTAAATGATGTAGGGAAAAGACTCGACTAACTGTTAATTTATGAATGGATATATGAATGAGAAAGACGAAAAAATTTAGATGAAAGAAAATAGTAATTGGACTTGTGGGAATAAAAGAACCAATTACAAATTTGGTATGTATCTAACTTTTAATAAAAAAGTGAATGTCATATAACTGTGGAGACAACAGCAAACAAATCCCATTTTACTGGTCACGCTATTTTTCCTTATTTTTTTGTCTTTTTTTTTGTTGTGAATAAAAAAAAAAATTCTTTGCTTCGACCATGCTAACCGTACTCCACGACCATACTCCTTATTTTCCTTTTTATTGATATTTTCATTCCTGCTTTTTCGTGAAATCTGTTCTTGTTGGATCACATATTCTCACTTCATCTTCGATTCTCTATTTTTTTTTTTTTTGTCTTTTAGATTTACGTGGGCATGGGAAGACAATGATTTTGGATACTTATATTTGCAGAGGTTGATTTTCTTCGATCCATATTTGATGGAGGAAATAAAAGTCCAAATAATACAGAAATTCTACATATAGTCTCCACCTTATCGTTACACAATCCTGTTATTTCTGAAAAAAATGTTGGTGATTGGTTTAAGAATGGACGAGCTTGTGAAAGAAAGAGAAAGCACACGTGCATTAAGAATCCTCAACTCAAAAATCTGATGCATGAAGTGCAACGTTATTCTGCAGATCGACGTTTAAGGACCTTCAGCTTAACAGGTTGTATTTAATAGTGTTTATGCTTCGTTGGGTGCTTGTATTTGTTTTGATTAGATTTTGTCCAAAAAAAAAAAAAAAATGAGGTGCCAAATGGCGCATGAGTTCAAAACTCTCTGCGAGAATTCAGCTTACTAATTTTTTTGGCAGTTTGAACAAACTAATTTTGTAGTTATTTTTTTATATAATAATTATATTTAGTTTTTAGTTTGTTGTTTTAATCTATTATCGTTATTGTTATTGTCATAGAATTTTTTTTGAAGCTCCGCACTGTGCGGAGAGTGTGCGAAGAATGTGGAGGAAGAGTGATCTCTCCGCACACCTCTGCGAACTCTTCAGAGATTTTTTTTTGGCGGTGTTTTTTTATATAATATAATTTTTCAAATGCTTTTTTGTTATAATTTCTTGTTTTTTCAAATTTCTTTTTTTCATGATACTAATCAACATTTTCAATGGGGGAATGAGTGTGAGTGCAGAAAAAATTAGTAAAGTAAATACTTATGTTTTGTTATCTTCTAATTCTCCAGTTGCAAAAATTTAGAAAAGAAGAAGATGATTTTGTTGTAATGGAAAGGTTTTTAGTATGATTTTATTTATTTCTACATCTTTTTAAAAAAGTTATTAGTATAGTTTTTTGTTCCTTCGTACTTCGCAGAGAGATATGTTTTTAGCTTGCTATAGAATTTTTTTCGAAGACTCCACACTGTACGGAGACTGCGCGGAGAGTGCGGAGGAAGAGTGATTCAATATTACTTTAGATTTTGTAGCCACCCAATCAACACCTAGAGGGGGGAGGGGGTGAATAGGTGTTATGCGGAATTTTCTTTTTTCAATCAATTAATAATTGCAACATGTCACAGAAATTAATTTGTCCAGATCAGTTCACATGTTTTACTATCCTATATTTGAATATCGGTCATAAATTAATTGCAGAAAGATAAATAACACAATTGTTTGATGACGGAGAAACTCCAATGTGGGTAAAACACCGAGCCCAAGCCAGTAGGAATTCATTATAAACATAAACTTATAATCAGCCAGACTCAACCTACACTGATTTTTCTGACATCCTGACCATAGTTTCCTCAAGACCTTCTTGGAATACGTGATCCTGCACCAACTCTCGGCACCTAGCCCTCCTGGATTGCGTGCTACACCAATTCCCAAGTCTTGATTTTGTCTATCTCCTG